TGGCCACCAGGCGCTCGCATTCGAGCCCCAACCCCAGGCCTGGCTCCAGGGTGGGGCCCCGGCTGCGCCATGCCAGGCGACGTCACGGTCCTTGATTTTAATCTATTCATAAAGGGCTTTTGAACCACTCTTAGTCTGACCCATCACCCAGGACCTGTTTGCCTTGGGAAACCCTACCAGGGACATATAGCCCCCGACAACATAGCTCCTAGGATCACTCAGGTACTCAAACCCCTCCACCACAATAAGGTGGTGGTTCAAGGAGGGAACTGAACCTCCCATCAGCAGCTAAACTCAGCTCAGATGTGAGGACACAAATGCTACGTGGAATCAGAAGCTGAAACTGAACTCTAGTATCATGTGTTGTTATTAATGAGTTACTCAGTTGTTCAAGGACATTATCACAACATATGTGACGCAGTAGGAATACAACAGTAAAATGCAAAATGTGGCTGGGAAAACTACTGAAAATGACAGTAATGGCTGTTTACACAACCTATCAGAGACATTTTGTCCCCCCAAAAGTACCAACACATTAATACTGTACATATGTAAGACAAACACTACCCAACCTGTTTTACAACAGCATCAAGTGTGTCATTTGTCTGTCTGAAAAAAAGCAGCAGGGTCTGGTGCAGCTAAGATGTTTAACATTTTGGAGTTGTTGGATCCCAGATGGTGCAACGACAGCCAAAACTGCAGCATGCTGCTTATATTATGCAATGCGAGTAGCTAATACTTGCTTAACTAATTACACAGCCAATTAAACAGACATTACTAGTAATGTATATGCTTACTATATAAAGAATGACAAACGGCTGAAGCTGTTGTGAACTGCTCTCCCGAAGTGCTTCTTCAACAGGTGATACGTTTTCCTGGCTACAGATAAACCAAATCAAGCTCCTGTATTTTCTTTACTCAAATCGTGTATAAGGGAACGTGCTTGTGCTTTAGAAAGAGTGAACAAAAATAGCTCATTTCAAACGTTTTTTTATGACCACTGTTGTGCTGGCATTTGGTGTGCATGCGTGCTCATCTCTGTGTATGTGTGAGAGAGAGACGAAAGCAAAGTGCCACTCAGCTGTTCCAACTTTGATTTGTAATTACCACCGTTCGATCTGGAGCACTTGTTTCATAATTACAATATTTCAGACAGCACTTAGAGCACCATGAGAGTGACTCTCCATCTCAACCATCCAATCACCCTCAACCCCCATACACCCTGTTCACCCAACACAAAGGACTGAGTCACTGCCTGAAGACGCACAAGGTGCCCTATAACCTGCCTTTGTATGTAGAGATAATAAAAACCATTCAATGATAAAGCCTGGTAACGCTTTACCCCATCTCTCCCCATTCAACACTTCTGAACTGTTCGTGTTTATAATAGTGTTATAAGCACTATAGAGTTGTAAAGCGATATAAATGTTAATGTATTTGTCAAAAGCTACAACTCCACCTGGAGACAGCAGTGATTTGAACTACATGCCAACATTAGGATGCCAACATGACATTTAGCAGGTATGTTTACCATGTTCATCACCTTAATTTAACGTTAGCATGCTGCCGCTTGCTGATTAGGGACAATAGAAGTGCTTAGATACTTTAAATGTACTAATGCTACAATGTAAAAATACTATTACATATAAAAATCCCAACTTCAAAATCATGCTCAAGTACAATACATCATAATTGATATTGGAGAAATTAGTTTTATTATAGACCATGAATGCACTACGGCATTTGCATTCATTTTTTCCAGTTGTGTTGCTGTGGCCTACATGGCATGATTCGACTCAGTGGGGGGACCACTGTGCAGCAGCGATGTGCCCATTTGGAGGAAATAAGGAGCACTGCCAAAGTTAGCTAAAGAAAATACTGATTTTGATCAACAAATAATTTGATTCTTACTGTATTAATGCATTTTTTTCATAAAACTAGGGGTTTGATTTGTTTTTTTTTACATGCATTTCAAATGTGCCACCCCCCTCTGAGTCTGTGCCCCAGCCTGACCACTCCATCCAGAATTTCCTAGATCCGTCCCTGGATGTTAGCTCTTTGCTGGCAACCCCCATGGGCTCCTTCCCGGAATCATTGGGCTGCAGTCCTTACTGGACATAATATAAATGGAGATATCTGTAGTAAGGATGCATATTGCCAAACACTAATTAACATTAATTTCAAGTTTCAAAATCGATCGAACAGTTGTCAAGAAATTTTACTCAAAAGCAAAACCATCAGCCTAATGATGGCATTAAAGGAAAAGTCAGGGGAACTTTTTACAATTCATCCTGTGGAGAAACATGAATGCATATAATAAATTTTAATGGCGGTACCTCCATTAATCAGTCTGAACAACCAGCCAACATTGCCATCAGAGGGTGAAGGGCCTTTTATCTTGAACAAGCAACAAATTGGCTACTGACCCTTTTACTTTTGGACATTTGGGGCCTCTCAAACCTTCAGCAACTCTACTGAATATATACACTCAAAAACTTAACACATTCCTTCAGTGAAACTTGCACACTGCGAGTCTGAAACATGTCTGAGGAGCTGTGACAGCTCGTCTACTTACAACAAACACGATTTCTTTATTCCTTCCAGACAGATAATAGCCACCATTCTTCAAAAACATCACAAACAAGCAGTTTCATTGATTACCCTCAATCTAAGGAGGCAGAGCCACAGAGATGATGGCTCAGTCTTGGAGACATGAGAGCTGTCAGAAGAGAGGAATGGGGAAAGCACACATCCCACAGAGAAGAAATGCAAACTCAAAAGGAGGAAACAGATCATCATCTCCCATCTATGAACAGTGTACTGAAAGCTCCATGTTTGGGCTGGTAATGACATGCACAGACTAGGAGGGGGTGGGGAGGTGTTCCTCCAACACAACCTGCCACATCTCACAGCCTAGACAACTGCATAACAGAGAGATTTACTTTTATGATGAAACCCTTTACTTGTTAGTTGCTTAGCAACAAAAATACTGATTTATATGGCACATACCGTATGCACCTAACACTGCATTTCTGACACTTTGGAGGAAGGTTGACTCTTGGAATTGAGAAAACATTGAGGACAAGACCAGAGGTAAGCTACAAAAATGAATGCCACGAGAGACCAGAAAGGCAGAGGGGAATACTGGGAATGAAAGGATGACCTGGCCGACTGCCACAGAGTAGCACAACAGGTTGGTGGAGCTTAGCAGCTTCACTTGTCAATAGCTGACGAAAAGCAAAATCTGACTGCTCTCTTGTATTCACACTGCTCAACACGGTACAACTGTGGACTCTAAAAGAAGCAACCGCATCCTGATCTTTTCAGATATGTCTGTTCCATTTCTCCTCATCTATAAATAAAATTTTAAATACTGTACCTAACTAGAGCTGAAACTCTTTGTATAATTCCTTTATTAAGAAAAAATATTCTAAACATTTTCAGGTTTCTGCTTCTCAGATAAGCAGAACTGCTGTTTTCTCTTATTTGGGTTTAGAATTGTTGGTCATATAAAACAATCTAGGGACTGAGACCTGGAAAGTCACAATAGTGATTTTTTTTTTTTTCAAATTTTTTTCTGGCATATTAGAGACCAAGCATCAAATTATGTAACTCAAAATCAATTAGTAGAATAAACACTGATGAAAGTAAACGTTAGATGTAGCCCCAACTGTAACCAGCTAAAACCAAACCATGGAAATGATACTGACGTCTTTCTTCCAAAGGTCACCACCTCCCTGCATGCAGCCTTGGTCAATTCTCTTCTTCATCAATGCATGTCTAACAGATGAATGCACATATATAAAGTGCTCTCTCACTAGCACCTTGATCAGCTGCTCCATCTTTATCATTCAGCACGAGAAGTGATACAAACCTTTTTACCAAAAAAAAAAAGTTTACACACAGAGACTGAAAAATGATCAACAGAAAAACAGCACATTTTTTGTAATGCAGGACTGTGGTCGGCCTCAGCTGTGAAGCAGGAACTCTAATGGCAGTGTGCCTTAAATTTTATGAACATTATTTCTGGAGATTACACTGCAGCTTGAGTGTTAACTTGCATGCAGGCACACCAGTAGTGAGAGAACTGGACATCAACAGTGCCTGGTCCATGTAGGATCAGTTGGCGATCTGCGTGTCCTGAACATAAAACTATTGCTGGCTTCTAGAAATGAGTCAAACAAATGATGCCGAGCAGTTCACCTGAAACTATGTTAAGGTGTAGCCAACATTTTGTCTACTAAGCAACCGGTTCTTGAATTAAAAACCCTTTCTCAACATTTATGCTATTTAAATCCTTAAGTTTGATTTAGTGTCTTGAAATCTTGAAAGGTTGGTCCATCCAGACTAAAAAAAAAAAATTCTCCTGGAACCCAACCCTGTATCCTGTTTGTGGTTTGGCTCATTATGAACCTGACAGAACCAAACACATAAGATGGGCCACCAACAAGTGTCAGCTGCACTTCTAACTATATACATTCAGCAAGACGCTGTGCGTCACCTGTTCACCTGTATCTAGTTCAGGGGCGAAATCATAATATTATTAAAAGGTATGTAATTAATATTGCATGCAACATCAAGCCAGGAGTGGCAGAGTTCATTATTCGAACTCGGCGCTCGCTTTCGTTGGGACCTTGGAACAGATTTAATCAGGAGCCCATTTCATAAATCTCACTGGCTGTTAAGACTGGTGTTGCGCATTGGCTGTTATACAAAAGGCCTAGAATAAAATAAGCCATTTCACCGATAGGATGTTTACGAAATGACCTAACTTACCTTCTTTTTGGCGTTACAGTGGCAGCACACAGTCCACAGGTATTTGAGAGTTCTCCACAGGAGGATTATGAAGAGACCCCCAAAGAAAGTGACCATGGAGGAGGCGAGGAAAGCCCACCACATCCGCTGGCCGTTGTTGTCACAGGGCACATCTGGTGTAAACGGAATGATAACATTCATCTTGGATATGTGGATGGACGGATCCGGGTTGAATTTCTCTCTGTTTTTCGCCATTATCGCCTTCTGGTCATCTGCCAGCTCCGAAACAAACAACCCAAGTGGGATTCAGGCGCTTCAGGGAGCTCCAGCCAGCGCCCCCTGATGCCACAGCGGCTCAGCCATGTTGAGTCAACCACCTTTCGCTCCTGAGCCTTCTCATCTGGCTTAAAGCTAGGGCGTGAAAGTTAAGTCGACAGCACACACGAGCACCTCAATCAAGCTTCCTTTGAAACCGAGATATCAGTGATCCGCCTCACGATGCGCGTTCATGGCGGGAAGTGCGCGCCATTCGTTTGATCAATTTGATAAAATTCAAATTTCTGTTTTAACAAACTCCTCAAAATGTCCTTGATAGTCCGGATGAATAAAGCTATGCAAGCACTAATATCATAGCGATGAGGGACGTTTCGCTCGTCAGTCGATGGATTCACTCACTCATCCACCTTGTTCAACAGCGCAGCCTTCAGCAGGTCCGCTACTTCAGCTCCGCGCCGCGCACTGTTGAATGCGCTCCTCACGTTAAAGACCGCAGTTTGTCGATATCCTTGCGGGTGTATCGTGTCAAAAAACGGTTGTTTGTTGTGCTGAGGAGCGGTTTTAGTAATCTTTCGCTGTCCGATCTCCAACTGTCGTGTGTCAAATTCAATTGTTGAAAGATGGCATCGCAGATTTACAGGTAGCGGGGGAGGAGCCATCAATATCAGACGTCGATGCTTATCTGGATGTCTGGTTATTTTTAGTGATCGCTTCATCAAATTTTAAATGATTGCAGCTTTGTGGTTATAGCCACAGACACTCTTAGTTCTGCATGTTCTGAAATTAAAAACAAGTTCCAAAGAGTCTTTTGTAACAACCTTTCACAAGCTCGATTTGTCCTCTTCAGGCTGGTGTCACACCGTTGCTGTCAGGTGTTAGAAACACATTATAGGCTCTACGCCTTTATAATTTATGGGATTCATGATTTACTCGGCGCCTGATTAAAAAAAAAAAAGACTCATGTAGTCAAACGTATTTTATAATCTGAGGCAGCAAAGAATAAACTGTGGACATTTTCATTATACGTTGAGAGTTTGCATGGTGTATTAAAGCTTTGGAAAAAAATAAACTATGAATTTTAGGACAGCAGCATCGTCAACACAGTTTAGCTCTTACAGTTTAAAAACAGCACATTATTGATCAGCAATGCGAAACAATATATACAGTAAACTGCTTAAGAGTCCACGAAAAGGAGCACTTCTCTGTGAAAAGCAGCTATGATGAGGTGGCACGCCAAGTGAGGAGATCTTAACAGTTCTCACATGCAGTGGTGTTTCCTCCCTCTAGTGGGCAAATAGAACTTGACATTTTCATTATTAACAAACAAACAAACAAACAAAACAAAACAGAAAGCTTCTAAAGCTGAGGAAACTATCTGCTAAACATGAATTAAATTTCTATAGTAGACACAGACAACATGTATTCCATTAAGCATATCCTGGTTTCATATTTTCTTATAGAAATATTAACCTTCAATGGGAGAAATTCTGAGGGTGCCTTCTATGAGAGTTTAAATTAAATGCCAATACAGTGATCTGCTAAAAATCTAAGAGGTGTATGTAGTTGATATTCTACCACGAACCGGAAATAAAATATCATCCACCTGACAAAGGGGAACAGTATTGGCAATTCCAGCAGAATATACAGACTGTGGTGAAACTACCATATTTGCAGTATAATTCATTATAGAAGTTAGTGCTACCAAATAAATAAAAAGTAGAACCAATACATTTATCTTGGAACTACACTATTTTTGAGGAATTAAATGTCTGCAGAAAAAAGATGAACAGAAGGCTGCAACATACTGTAAAGGAAGCAAAATTTGTCTCAATTCTTCCTCCATCAGTAAGAAGATGAACTGGAGAAATATCCTTCCTATTACCTAGACTACATTTGCATAACAGAAGGTTTATAACCAAACATTTTGATTTGTTTAAATTCATCAAATGGCAGAACTGTGTATAAATACAGATAAGGGAAAACAGTGGTCCTGTCAACGTTCACTTCAGTAATGAAGTCCTGTTTTGCTCGAGGCAGACTTCCTGTGGGTTTAAACTGGGTTGCTACTATATATAAGGGAAAATTAAGAGTATTTCAAGTATTAAACACTAGTGTAAACAAACCTATCTGTAGTACAGTACATCACTATTTTAGTGGGAGTATTATATAATATCATCAGTGCAGATATTGCTATATGTGAAGAATTGGCGCTAACCATGATGTCTTTTAAAAAGGTACCGATTCACTGTGTATCCCATAATAAAAATAAACATCCTCTCTAAGGTTCCCAAGTGACATGAGGTGAAATTTCTATGATGCTCCATCTGGAATCCACAGTACTTTACTCTGTTCCTGCTCCACGATGGTCATGATCTGAGTGCAAATGTAGGAGACGCTGCCTCCTTGGACAACGTCTGCAACACAGCAAGGGTGGGGAGGAATATTTACAGGAGTTTAGAGTTGATTGATATTTTTGTATATAAGCAAAGCTATGTCAGTGATTTATATTATCAAGAAACTTTAGTTTATTAAAATGTCAAAATTCTTAAAAAAAAAAGCCTGAAACTATTATTTACAGACCCTACAAACTTTGTCAAGAAAATGTCATCACAAGGTCTTCAAACTGTTCTATCAGTAATTTTGCTTGAAACATGACAAGCGATAATTGATTATCAAATAGGTTCTAGTCATTTTCTTTCAGTTCACTCAATTGTATTTTTTCAGCTCAGGAAAACTGCACATTACAAGTTCCCAGAGCCAACACAATGTGTTCATATTTTGTTTTCTCTGACCAACAGTTAAAATCCAACGATATTCTATTTACAGTGCTGTAACACAGAAGAGTAGCAAAGTCCAGCATCAGCTAAAGAGATTTTTGGTGCTCATCTACTCATTTATGAGCTACAAATAGTGTTTTCATGGACAAAGAGGACAGTGCAGCCGAAACTATTTCAGTGCTAGAATTGGGAGTGCACAGAAGTTTGCCGGACACTTCAATAAGCCCTTTTTCACCATAATTACCTGTTTTTATAAAGTCATTAATCAGCTGGACAGCTGGGTGTGTGAAACCGGCTGTTGTTCCAGATCCAAAAACAGGACCACAGAGGTACTGTTTTCCAAAAACAAGTGCTGCTAGAGGCTTGGGGTTAAACGAGACCATATAGAAACAGGATTACATTTGTTACTGTGGCTGATTGCACATGGTTTGCTGGATGGCTTTTGTATGTTTTCTCAGGTATTCTGGTTTGTTACAGGATCTTTTCTATGCAACACAGCCCGTCTGTGCAACTGTGCACTGACAGTCTGCAAGTAAGATTTCAACTGACACTTTGGGGGGGGAGATCTGGTTTCATTTGATTTCTGTCTGCTGAAGTTTGTGTCTTTTTCGGATGCTGGGCTGATTGTTAACCCCCAGGCTTGTATTGAAAGACTCAAATCTGACTACCTTTACACTGACCCCTCTTTACTGATATGGCTCTTCCAACAGCCTCTGTTCGAAGTGCAATGTTTTGGCCAGGTAACAGCCGGGCTTTACCATAATCATCTGACCGAGTGGCCATCTTCAAAAGATAAAAACGTGTTATATAATCACAGTATTTCACAGAATCTCAGTGTAACTGGATTATTTTAAGTAGGACACAGATATTGTTTTGTTTTTCAAAATGAACATTTTCAAGGCTTTGACTATCAACAAACTTCCATTCACCTCCACCATACTGAAGTCATTCAAGTCTCAGTATCTGATATATATAATGTAGCATATAAAACAATTTGCATGCATAGATATAACTAGGGGTCGATTCAGAAACACATTTTATGTGACTGGGGTGAAATGGCCTTTATAATAGACCTGAGGTCACAAAATGACAAAGAAAAACTTCTATTCACAAACTCATGTTCAGCCGTGATGCAACACTCAAACTGGTCATAATAAACACATATCATGATACACCCATATTATAGACACATTTACAGACCACTGTAGATGTCTCTAGGACCTCAAAATAACTTGTGTATTCATGTATCCATACTAGCTTTAGTATGTCTAAGCGAAAACAAGTTATTTCCACCAACCTGTGAAGAAGCAACTGTACTCCTGCTCTATTTTCTGTGCCAGTTCAAACTGCTCCTTGGAATGTTTCTGAGAGAGTTTATCCCGCAGGTAGAGAGGGTCCTTCTGCTCTCTGAAAAGACAACAACAGGACCTGTCAGCATCCAATGAAATCTTTTCACAGAATCCAATGAAATCTTTTCACGGATTCATAACATGGCATAAAACCACCTCTACATAACGTTTAGGAACCAGATTTTCAGATTACACTAAATGTCCATACTTTATTAAAATTATGGTTGCACAGTATTGCTTTAGATATTTTGCTCCATTCACTCCCCCAAACTGCACATTTCCATTTATGTACATTTTGCTTAGAAATTGTACTAAAAACACCTGGGAATGTCTCTTTTTAAGATACGCTGGTGAAATCTGTCCTTTATCATATTGAAGCAAACATCCTGTAAAATCCATAAAAACAATGTCAGTACACTGCAATATTTCCCACAATGACCTAAACCAATCACCGATACCGCAGTACAGGGAAATTCTTATATATGGTATAGCAACATCTCAGAATTGTTCATCAAACTGCACAACCCACTCAGGTACTACCTACAGTAGGTCTAACAGGCAAGCCACTGATTCACTCCATAGCTGCACAGTCTTAAAAGTTTCCATCGTCTTCAACCACTGGGAGCTTTTGACCTAACCTAGGATCACACTCACTGGCACTCAGTCAACATTTTGGCCTGCTGAAGCACTGCAAAGGATAAAACACGTGAAAAAGCTTGAGCTCTATCAGTTCCTGCAGCAGGCAGGCAGTGGGAGGTGTGTTTGTGTGTATGTGGTGGTTGCAGGGTATGTGTGGGCAGTGAGTGTTTTAGCCACCCACACCACAATGCGGAGTCACAGGCCCTGCAAGCTCTCCCCAGACAGCTGGCACTCAGCTGATGACAGCAAGGGCTTAAGAATCCATCTCTGCCATGTTTGCCTGCTGCTTCATGGATTTGTAGGCGTGGGTGTGTACATGTCGCAGAGAGAGCTTGCTCCCACCAGATCTGAGTGTGTCTTTAGTAGTGTGTATCTGCACGTGCATGAAGTACCATGCAGCAGATTTAATCTTCTCAAGCAATTACAAATGAAAAAGCAGAGACTTCTGAGATACTGCAATTATCCTATCAAAATCCCAGCAGGTGGTGGAAGAGAGCAGGCTGTGGTTTTTGAACTAATGACACTGATCACATCAGGCTGATCAATTAGTTGTGTTATGTCTGCAGTATGAATAGGATTACAAAAGCAACAAGACTTCTGCAGATGTCAATTTCCTGAGTATGTGTCTCAACAGACAGAAATTAAAGGGAGTAATCAAGAATTATATTTCCTGGATGTAGAACTGGCATCAATATACAGTCATGTGAAAAAATTAGGACACTCTTTGAAAGCATGTGTATTTTGTAACATTTTTTAATATATGGTTATTTAATCTCAATTTTAACAATACAGAGAGATTCAAGTAATACAACTAAATCAAAACTGAAGTCTTCAAGATCTTCTGTAAATGTAATTCTACAAAAATGCCTATTCTGAGGAAAAGTTTTCTTCAGTGTTACTTGTCTAGTTGTATTACTTTAATCTCTCTGTATTGCTAAAACTGAGATTAAATAACCATATATTAAAACATGTTACAAAATACACATGTTTTCAAAGGATGTCCTATTTTTTTCCCACAGGACTGTAAATGAGCTTTGTTTGGTTTTTTTTGTAGGAATGTCCAGCTCAGTCATTCCAACATCTGTGTTCTTGACCAGAAGACTGTCCTGACTGGAAAAGCATGCAAAGATGTCATTTATTCCAATACATCTGTGTGCATCTGTTCCATTTTATAACTTAGGGTGTACCCACCCTAGGTAACCTGTACCATGCCCGACCACGTTCCAACCCCAAAGTCCAGTTTGTTTGACTAGTGTGATCACTTTGTGTTGTGCCTGGACACAATTCAGCATAGAGTGCCCAAGCACACTTGGAAATGGTGGACCCAAGCACGATGCACATAGTGTGGTCTCTAACCATGCACGGAACACCAATGCTATGTGCTATATGACAGGGCTTCTCCTCCTTTGCACTGTGGTGATCATTTCAAGTGCAGTGTGAGTCAGCGAGGGGGAGAGACAATTGAGCTCGAGCACATTATGAAGCAAACATACCTAATATGAGCATGACCTCACTATCAGTTAACTGCAAAATAAGAACTGATTAAATTAGATTCTACAAACTTAAGTGTGGGTTGGTGATTTTACATCTTGATATTCATACTTACTTTCTCATTTCTGTATAGTCACATTTTCTAAACATTACATTCTCAGATAGCCTCTAGAACCAAAAGCCTTGGATGAATGATTTCCTCAGTATGCCAAGGATCCCAGCTTGGTGAAACTGGATAAACAGCAGTGGCACCAAAACGCAAAACACTTGACGTCTTCAGCCAAGAAAAATCAAGAAGGAATGGAAACAAACATCTTTAAAAGGATGGGGTTACTCACTTTATCTGCTTGGCATTTTTGTAGTGAATGAATATGACGATTGGGTAGATGTGAACACTGTGAAGACGTTCAATGGCGTGAGGGGCAATGTCAAGTAAACAGTGACAGTCCTATGAGAGAAAATGACAGCAAAAGGCTGCATGAGAAATGGGGGATGGTTCAAAACAATGCTGAGAAAAAAAAAAAAAAAAAAAAAGCCAAAAATCTAGCATTTGCTTTTGAGACTTTGCAATGGTTTTGGATCATTCATATCCAACATAAATTTGCATTTTAGATTTTACAGTAGATTGGAAGATATATAGTTCACACAGCTGCTTGAATCTTAATTTGGGCTGGGAAAAAAAAAAAAAAAAAAATCCTTTGAGCACCCACCAGTTAGTTAAATTTTGACCACACTGGTATTTCAGGAATATTGCACTTGCAATTACAGACAGAATACAACTGAACACCTTTAAGATGAATTCACTTCCAATTTGCAGTATGAGGTTGTAAAACCAGCAGTACAACAAACTTGGCAGTTACACTGAAAGACTGCTATTGTTTTAACGCTCATAGCCCTGGTATGGAGCATCACCCACACACAGATTAACTTACCTTCTCCGTGATCTCTTTTATCGATGCAACAGTTGTCACATCAAAATGGCCGCTCCTCCGTTTATAGTCAATAAACACACCGTCTTTAACTCCTCGCTCTATTGCCTGCTGAGATGCCTTCATAATCTCTGGAAGTAAAATGAACTCAATTAAGAACTAGAGTAAATTAGTTCAGTTTCCTATATGCATTACATTAAATGGCTCTTAGTAAAACCCCTCTCTACAGCATGAGATGCCTAACACAAAGCTGATGGACAAATAAATGTTATTTACACACCAAGTATAACGCGTGTATATGCTTACCAGGGAGACAACGACAGAACTTGCCTGGAGCCTCCTTCACCAGAACATCCTTAATGAGCTCCACCAAAGGACCCAAGATCAGCACTGGTCTGGGGGATGAGCACTCCACTTTCTGAACCCGCTGGTACATCAGGCTCAAACCATCTGAGCAGAAAATAAAGAAAAACAAATTCATTCCAAAACAGAACAGGCAACATAGAGATACAGCTTCCCCTTCAGTAGCCACAGTTATGATTTTCTGTATCCTGGGAAGGGTTCTGTTGAGCAAGCCTGCTTTTTATAGTACCATTCTATTTTTTAATCACACGTTGAAACCTGAAAAACAGAGGTAGGGTGCTGAAGAAATGTTCCTAAAATTATGCTAAAATACCGGTAGTATATTGCAATATTTGCATTATCTTAGTTTTATATTTTTACTTCAGGCAAATTTTTTTACATTAATCTGGAAATCACTTGCTGCTAAGTATGCATATTAACTTTTATATTAACTTTTCTTTTCTCCACTGGGAGAAGTCTTTTATCCCCAGATGCCAACTCTTTAGTAAAAGAAAAACTGCCCTGAGGTTTAGGAGTGGGAGAGCTTTGTAAAACAAAGGCAATTTGTTACACAATGTCATTTTCTTTACAACTTTTTTTTTCCTCTGTGCCTCTTTTCTTTCCATTCTTTCCTTTGTATCACAAGACACGGGGTATGCTACTCATGAGTGTCAGGATCTAAACTTTACCTGCTAATGTACGCTGCATCAAACATGAATATTATTTATTGGTCAATATTTTATCCCAAGGCTCAGGAATAGGCTACTTCCACTGCCGCTGTGCTGAACTTTGCTCTCCATTCTCTTTCACTCATTATGCTGCTTGCCTTGTGCATTTCTGATAAAGCTGCCTCAGTAGATGTTTTCTCACCCTCAGTGATGGGTAAAGAGTCTGCGCTTATGCCATCTAGCGTTATCAGGTCCTTCCCATCCTTGGATCCACTGCGCTTGTGCTTCAGTCTCCGACGGAAAAAGGACCTCCGTGCAGCAGGAGACAGGGTCTTGTTGGTGCCGTTATCGTCTTTCATATCAGCCATGCAATGTCTTCTGTACAGCTCCTGATCCATCCTGTATGGATGGAAATATATTAGTGTGTTCACATGGACACGATTGCATCTACTGCACGCTCCCTGTTACTTACAGTAACATCCAAGCTTGCTGAATATTGACGTGCCCTCCCAGATTTATAACTGAACCAGACTAGATAACTACAAATCATGTGTTTAACTGTGGTAATTACATAAACTCCAGTATGTAAAAGTAAAACTACAAGCTGGACTTACATGTATTTACTTGGAATTTGCCCTGTCTTTAGCTTCTGTGCATTCTCATCAAGTTGCCAGGCCACCCAGTAGCCAAAATTGCCATTTGGTAGTGTGTCTTCAACATAGAGGATGTCGTCTTTTTTAAAGCTCAGTTCCTGCTCCACCTCTGCCACCCGCTCATAAAGTGCTCTGACAGGAGATGAACAATAAATCAGTTACCATGTGTAAGAGATGTATTCAAGGCCTTTCATGGGTTCGGGCTTGACTAAAAACTGAACCAGCAAAACATAGCATGAGAATTCTTTTAAGCCCTTTTTGTTTGGTCTCTTCAATAACGCTAAACATGTTAATGGGGTTAGTACCACTTTGGACTGTTTGCTACAATAAAATGTTTGGGTACCTTATGAAAAATCCATCTCCAGGAAATTCCTTAATCAAGGCAAGGTCATCTGTATAGCTCTGGACCTTGAATGTGATGGTTTCAGCTGGTTTCAACATTTCCAGGTATGCTTCCTCTTTAGTTCTGTTCTTCATGCTGATGCCATTGTACTGTTTGAAAACAATAATGCAGTTAACAAAAGGACACTGGGCTTCACTGCCAACATAAAATGACTCATCAGTTTCAGTGAAATTAAGCAATTATTATTCCCAAAAGGTGTCCTAGAATGTATTCACACCAACTGCCTGAATAACTTTCATTGTGCACATGATGATCTTACAGAGTTAAAATAACTGATAAACACTATGGATACCTCCATTATCAAGTCTCCAGGCAGCAGACCATCCGGACCCTTGACAGGGCTGTCATCTTCCAGACTCTCTACAAAGATGCCGCAAAGGTTTCCTCCACAGATCTGAAGTCCTAGTTCCACCTGGATCCTCTTCAGCCTCACCAGCCGAGGTGCCGCAGCCCTACGGGAACTTGAACCAGGACATCTGAAGGGAAAAAAGAAAAGAAAAGAAAAGAAAAGAAAAGAAAAAAGAAAAAAAAAAAAAACTATGAATTTCCTTTCACACATTCAATTCATGCGCAACAGCTCTGGTGGACATTCCTGCAGTCAACATGCCAATTGCATGCTCCCTCAAAACTTGCGACATCTGTGGCATTGTGCTGTGTGATAAAACTGCACATTTTAGAGTGGCCTTTTATTGTGGCCAGCCTAAGGCACACCTGTGCAATAACCATGCTGTCTAATCAGCATCTTGATATGCCACACCTGTGAGGTGGATGGATTATCTTGGCAAAGGAGAAGTGCTCACTAACAGATTTAGACAGATTTGTAAACAATATTTGAGAGAAATAGGCCTTTTGTGTACATAGAACAAGTCGTAGATCTTTGAGTTCGGCTCATGAAAAATGGGGGCAAACACAAAAGTGTTGTTTATAATTTTGTTCAGTGTATTTAAAATGGTCCTTTATCACCACACAAACAGGAAATCAATGTCAGTAGTGAAAGAAACTAAATATGAAAAGGCATTGGACATAAACCTAGCAAGACCAAGGGAATGGAGAAACATTACAGTTCTACCTGAAGGAGTTGTAAGGGCTGGTGGCAGGAGTCATCTGTCTGGACGGCGGTGTCATGGTGCCCTCATCCTGCTCACTCAATGTATCAGTGGTGGAATGACTGTCTGGGGTCATGGCTCTGCTGTCCTGGGGTGTTGGCTGGTTGCTGATGGCCTCCATATGAGAACTGAGGAAAACAGAAGTGGAGTCAATCTTTTCAAATTGCTCCTTATTTAAAACAAAGTTGTTTAGTTTCAGCAACAATGTTGGAAAAACAAATACACACCTGTGCCGTTTTGAATATTTGTGTTATACATCACTTATTTTGCTTTTTTGGCACTACAGTACGTCATCTGACGCAACTTGCTCTATACACAGCTTTACGTGTTCATGAATTAACTGTGTGCAGCAGGACTAGTAAATTCATTTTCTCATATTATACTAAACACGTCCCCATGGTTCATTTTATGGTCTGAAACCAGTGGACAAGTTATTACTGTGGTGTTCTCTCCTCTTCCTTACCCTGTACGAGAGTGGTTACCCAGATGAAACATGTGAGGATTATACTGAGCCAGAATGGTGACAGTGTCACATTGCTGTCCGATCACCAGCCGTGCTTGCTGCTCATTGGCGTTGCGAAGGTTGATTCCATTGAACTGGAAACAGCAGCAATTCATTAAAAACAATGTAATGATAAGCCACGGTTATGTTTAAGTGTAGTGGCTTCTGTACCTCCAGGAGTTGGTCTCCATATGTTAAATGAGCTTTGTGTGCAATGCTGCCTGCTGTCACTTTGGACACAAATACTCCGCCGTTCTCTCCGCTCACAATGGAGATCCCCAGTGGTTCTGCTCCTTTCTGTACTGTCACATTACGTGGTTCCTCCAAGTATGGCCTTCAAGGGGGAAAAGAGGAACATTTTATACTGTGGTATTCTGTCATGCGTGGGGAACAATGAAGATTGTTGGTAGGATGCAACATCCAAGTCTGAACAATACAAACTTTATTGCAATAAAAATTCAGAAAGAAACTTGCCTGCAATCTGTTTCAGTTTATTGTAGCTCACTTCTAATGTGTTCATTAAAGCAAAGATGATTTACTATCTTTTGAAAGGTCTCAGCAATAATTTACGGGAACGCGTCATGCAATCATACTAAATTCATCAGTATCCTGAATAAGTAACATGCAGACTACCCATCCATTAGCGTTCATTACAAACCTAGGACCTCTAACTTTTATATCTGCAGTGTGTCCACAGAAGGTCGTGAGATTACTGGTCTTGAAGATGGTGCATATATTGTGTGCTATAAGCAGCACAGGACCAACCTCAAGCTTCTTAAAGAGAAGAATCTGGGCTTAACTGCCCATGGAAGTCTGACAGAGGAAGTATTATAAGAAATAAATCTGAGGAGATTGAGAGAAGAAAGAGAAAGACTGATCACCCAAAACAGGAGAGAAAGATTTCAGGTTACAGTATACTGAACAGCAGCAGAAAGAGATTAGGATAAAATGATGGATGGTGATTCAGCATTCTGACAATTTGAGATGGGAGGCCCACAGCCTTGTTTACTGCTTCACAAGTACTTAATCATTATGAAGCAGACAGAAGTACAGACAAATGGTGGAAAACAAGTCATGCTCTGCTGAATGATGACAGCGTAATGACCTGGACGAGGCACTGGCTTACCCATCCTTCCGCCTGTCGCCAACTGGAGCACTGCTGACTGATATCCTGGGCTGGGTGGAAAAGGAGCTTTGTGATTGGTTGCTGGTGAAAGACGATGTCTCCAGGTTGACTGGGAAAACTGGAGGTGTCAGGCTGCTATACTCTGAATGTGTGAGAAAGCCTGGAGTGGCAAAAGGGAAAAGGTATGTATTCAGACTTGCTGTTTACTAGTGCAATACATGCCATCGGACGATGTAGCTACCAAACTGAAACACACCTCTGTCAGATCCAGTGGAGCGAGGATAATGACTTGGAGGCATCCTAATGCGTTCTGCCCTAAATGGTGAAGTACTGGAGAAGCCTAAAGAGCACCACAAAGGGTCAAGTTCACCAAAATTAGGAGGAGAACACATTCACTTTTCACTTGCCTGTGTAGTTATCAACCCATGCAAATACAGGATTCCCTCCACAGAAACTGCTTAGTGAATGTACTGAAGCAATTTTTCCTTGCATTGTGATAGACTTGCTCTGATCAGTTACCACAAAACAAATGTCTGCTGTCACTAATCAGTCATCGTCACCTCCTGGCAATTTATCAGATTTCATACAAGTTTTTTCACATATGCAGTAGTACGTACATATAAACAAACTATGATGTGTAAAATGGGTGGAGTTCAGGGCATGCCAACCCAGTTTTACTTGTATATTGTTTGAAACCCTGAGATATTGGCCAGGTTTTGAAATAGTCAAATATTTTTGACGTGTGTTACTTACAGCACTGAAAATTATACAAAAATGTCTACAGCAACATGGCTTTCCTGAAACAATGTCCTGATTATTTACTACTAAAAACAATTTCTAATAAAACTGTTCACACTGAGACCTGTAAATTCATGCAGAGAAACCAGGATATTTTTTCTAAGCTGTCAAAACCGGTAATATAGAGGCAATATTATATATGCTATGATTTGTCCAGAAATAGGACTCTTACGTACCCATTCTGCTCCCAGCAGGCAGGGAGTGAGTGTTCTGTGGTGCTTGGCTGCAGCTCATCTCAGTCAGTTCTCCAGCACTCTTGTGGCCGAGGTCCAGGCTGAGGCAACCTTGATGCTGGGGGCTAAGGGAGAAGAAAAAGACCTCAGCAAGTCAATTATTTAACTCAGAGCAAGACGTAACTTGGTACACGTCATGTGTTCATCAGATCTGGGGCAGGGTAAACAGTTTTGCAAAAGAAATGCATCATCACAAGATTTATCAAATAACATCATGCTGTGAATGCTGAATGAAACTGCTTTAACTAATGACTAATATTTCATCACTGATTAATCAAAAATAGTTTTATCTATACAATAAAAAAAAGCCATCATCACAAGCTACTGGAGCCTAAGACATCTTCAGTTTGCCTGTTTTGTTCAAACACCACCTTATAAACAGCAAAACATTTGAGAAAACGAAGAGAATGTTTGTTTAATGAAAACTATTAATCAAATATCAAAATAATTTTATTTCATTTTAAACAATATACTGCAGCCTAAAGGTGAAAATAGTTTTGATTACTCACAGGAGGATCTGGACTATGTAATGACTTGATATACAGATTTTTTTTTCCATTAAAGATTTTCTGACATGTCAAAGCAAGAAGAGCACAGAGGTAAACAAAATGAGTGACGGCTGATTTTCTGTTCACTGCTTCACTTTCAGGGCCTGTGCATGTTGGCTCACTGTCATGATTTACTGAGACACTTAATAGAACAAACCATTGTTATTGCTATTGGTAACAACTGTGCTTTTCCTCCAATGATCCTTCAAAATATCTGATGTGAAAAAGGTCTGTTACTGTAAACAAAGAAATGGACTGACAGATGTTAGCAGCACCTTGTATGTGAATGTGAGTGGACTCCTGAGCTGGAAGCTGGAAGACACTTATTGCTCTGGATCTCATGGCTCCAGGCAGTGTAGACTGGGTTCCTCATCACAGCAGTCACAGAGGTACATGGGGCTAATCCAGGGTCTGGAGGAACACAAATGATAAAAAGAGCAGTCAGATCAAATCCAATACAGTCATGATAAAAACAACTCTTACACGTGTATATAATTATATGCAAATAACTCATCAAAATGACAAGTGTACATCTCTGTTCCCAAAGAAATATCACCCTGCTTACACACCAAACAAACCAGGTGTGAAGTACCGTTAACATCCTTCTATCCACAAACGCATTCAGAAGATGGCGAAAACTAACTGATAACACATGAGAATATCACAACTGAATAGGGGATGCTTGTTCAGATGACTTACGTCCTGTGATGCTCCTGTAGCCGGGTGGAGCAAAAGGCGCGCAGTACCGATTAGTTCTTATAGGAGAAAAGCGTAACAATTCCATTGGCTCTGGGGAGTGCTCTTCATTAGAGAAACTCTGCAACTGCAAAAGGCAAACACACTGCTAATAAGACTTGTGCTGCAACTGATTATTTTTTTACTAATCTATAAAATGTCAGAAAATAGTAAACTTCCCACAACAAATCTAGTAGCCCAAGGTGACTATAATTGTGCATTTTGTTGGTCCAATAGTAGATCAAATAAACCAGCCATCTGTTTCACCACTACTAAAACATGTACATCAGAAAGGATGCCACATCCGATGAGAGCAGCATCCTGGTTACCTGCATGGGAAGAGGGATGTGTAATGGAGTCACATTTCGTCGCAATGCCGGTGCAGATTTTGGCCGATACCTCCTCTTCTCCCGCTCCTCTGCCCTGTGCCGGCTCTCCTCCACCTCAGCAGGTTTCTTAGAGCCACTCTTCATTCCTGGAGTAGTGTCGGTGTAGTAGAGGTGGTTACCTGGCTCTTGCTCATCCTGTAGGCTCGTAGCTTGGGTCGGAGAAGCCGAGGGAGTGCCAGTAGTGACGGTGGAGTCTGATGCCGAGCTGCTCTGCTGTCGATGTTTGAACCTGAACGAGTCGCTCCTGGTTGGTGGTATGGGAGGGGCCTGAGCAGATTCAGATATCAAGCTCTGCGGTGAGTGCTCAGGCAACTGGGACAGAGATATGTAGTCCAAATTTGGGGTGGCCTCAGGTCTCCTGAAAGTGTTCGCATCAAAGATGGACTTCCTCTGTTTGGGTTTCTTGTAGATGGACAGTTGGGCATACTGAGGACTAGATGCTCCTATGACTTTAGGCCATGTGCCTCCAGTGGGTTTAGCTACAGAACTCAAATGGTCCCCAGCTGTCTGAGGTGAGCTGCAATCAGACAGCACAGTGGTGAAGGTGAAAGGGTGTTGGCGAAGTTCCTGCCTCCTGTAGCAGAAGTCTGGGTGGGGTTCTAAGGGAGCGTGAGAAGCGGAAAGGGAGCGCGAATGTAGAGAGCTGCTGGAAAAGGGCTTATGATGGGAGTGACTGGTGCTGCTGCTGTCTAAAGAGTCACCTGTATCCTTGCACTCTTCCTCCCCTCTGCCACCCAAGTCACAACTGCAAATTTCTGTTTGTGTAGAACAGTTATGCATGGAGTTCTTGCAGCTCCTGGTGTAGACCTCACAGGACTGGAGCCGAGAAAACCTTTCCGAGTCCTTCAAACTTTCAAATAAACTCTGACCAGAACAGCTTTGTGGGAGGAACTGTCAGAGAAGGGAGGTAAACACACACTTATTTTACTGCAGGTATTTTTCAATGTACAAGAATTTAAGAACCATCTTTGCTAGAGATGCAACACAGCAAGTACAAACTACACACATTTCAAAAAGTACTGTGTGCTCAGTGGTAACAGATATTCTTCTGCTTTCATTATTTGTTGCACCTGTTTATATTAGAAAAAGTACAAATATTGCACTTCATTTTTAGCTGAAGGTTTGTAAAAAGGAAAAGAAAGAAAGATGGAAATGTTAAACTTCAGTGTTTTATTTTTATTAGTTGTCATTAAAGAAAAGTTACAAAAGTGTGTGCACATGCTGTCAATTACAGAAATAAAATTGGAATTGGCCACAAGAACAGCAATCGTTGCATCTCTAATCTTTGCAAACAAAACCTCAGTGACCGTAGCATGTGAAACTGATGTTTAATGACAAAGCTAAAGACATTCCTCAGGCTAAAGGTTCTCTGTAGACATTTCCCCAGTAAAATGTACCATTTGTCTCTAAACATAATTTTCTGTCACTTGCACAAGTACTGTGCAATTAATATTTTTCCAATGCCAAGTCAGTGTACTGGGACTAGCTAAGGGGTAGTTTGTGTTGTACAGTATGTCAGAGGAATTCACCTTAATGAGGGAGACGCTGAGAGAATCGCAGCAGTTCCTCAGCAGTGACTCACATTCAGAGAGCGACTTGTTATCAAGTGCAATTCCATTAATCTGCAGTGCAAGAAGAAAACAAAAGTTCAGTAACCGATTATGGTCAGTCAGTCGGGACATACTGATGTGGATATATGGAGTGACTGCATACTAGTGTTAACCATGAATACCAGAAGATGCATACAAATTTGCTTGATTTTTGAGTGCAACCTCAATGGACATTACCTTAACTCCTGCCATGGTGGAAGAGCTGCTCTTAATATTGAGACAGCTTCATAAACATCTCAGAAAAAAAAACCTAATCTTGGTAAAATGTTTCTTTTCATACTCGTAGTTTGAGTGATGCTCTAAGACCTTGTGTCATTTCAAAATGACTTCAAAATGATAAAATGCATAGCTTCTCTACACTAAACCACCAAAACAGCATACTGTGAAAATAAGAACACATGTACACTTCTCCGTCTTAGTATACTGCATAGCGTAAACTTGGGACATGTTCAAATGTTGGTTAAAACACCATATGCCTACAGTCAGCAGAGGGCACTAGGGACCAATGAAACACCCAATAGCTGCCTTGTGGCTTTAACTGAGAATCATCACTTTCCATGTGACTTAAACTAAAGGTTTTGGCAACAAACTCACCGCTAGCAGTCTGTCCCCAACAGTCAGAGCACAGTCTCTGGCAGCTGGACTGCCTGGAGCCAAAGTAGCAACAAATACTCCACTTTCCAGGCCTAGGCCACTATCTGAGGAGGTAAGACAAAGAATAAGAAATCATTCTTTAACTTAAGTGACCTTTAAATGACAGGGGTGCCAATATTTTTGGCTATGACTGTATAAAGTTAAGCGACTGTCAGGTAGTCTTGTAGCAAGTAATATCTTTGTATCAGAAAGCCATTAGTTTCTTGTTAATAGCAGTGATTTAAACTATAAAAAGTATATTTCATCATTGGAACTTGAAGATGACCTTTGTGTCCAGCCAAGTTTATGTGGATCGCTGTGATGACCCGTCCTCCTAGTGATTTCCTTCTGCGAACCACCATATTGATTACTCCTTCTCCACTCAGCACTGCTTTGATCACCTGCTTCCTGTCCTTATTAGTCAGGTCTACATCATTAATTTTCAACAACCAATCATTCACCCTGTGCAGAGAGAAAAGAGGAATGATATGATTGATCAAAATCCCCATATGATAATTAAGACTGATAAAATGTAGGATTGGATATCAGTATAGGATATCATTACTTCCTGGGTACCAACCAAAAAGTGTCCATAGCATTTAGTATCAGAAAGTAATATGCGATATCTTTGAGTTGTTATCAAAAGGAATATGTATTAATGTTCTCCCACAGTTTAACTTCTCTCAAGCTGAACCCAGTGAACAGGATTTTAGTCAAAATGTGCGTAAATCCATCTTCTACGTCACTTGTTTCTCCGCAGAGCAGAGGCACACGGACAGTGAACAGTCTTTTCCACTGAGAACTAATGGAGGGGAAAAAAAAAACAACAACCCTGCAACCATGGCAACTATACACAATGATGGCGACAGGTGTAGCCTCAAAATACAAAACAAAAAGTGACACGTCTTTAGTTTTTAATTGACTAAATCTAACAAAACGCAAGACTAAAATTTGACTAAAACAAAATGTTTTTTCACCACAAGTCTAAGACACACAAAATCAAATTTAAGTAAAACAAAAAAAGTTAAACATTTACAAAGTAATAATAAAAGCTCTTATTTACAAGGGTGGTCAAGCAGTGAAAATTTACCTTAATCTTCCTTCAGCAATACTTCCTTTATCCACCTTACTGACAAATATCCCGCAGTCCCCTGGTAAATAAGGATCATTTACCCCTTCAGCAATATCAAACCCAAGTGCTTTCAAATCCATGTCCTGAAAACAGACAACACGTGAATAAAATTTTACTTGGTGACTGCAAATCAGAAACCACTTGGTTAGTTACCTGTAAAAGAAAATTTTGTGAATTTATATCTGAGCAAATGACAGCGGTTCTTACCCTATCCTTCTCAAATTCAACAACTTCCGTTTCCCACTCCATTGAGTCTGTGTCAATAGCTGAATCGTGTGAACTGTGAGCCATTAGCTGACGAAACCTTGCTTCCTTTTCTAACTGGTCCTCCATCTTTTCTCTGTAAAAAATATAAAATATATAATTGTTCAATATGTGCTTTCACCTTGAAGAGTAATCTGACCTTTGCTCAGTCAGTGACATATCACCACTACACCGTTGAAGTCCATTTACTAAACCTCGAGTCTGAATTCAGTCTGGAGTCCCCAGTGTTAGAGTCCGAGTCAAGTCCAACTGTGTGTGACACAACAGCCAAACAATCATTTATAGAAAGGTGGAGTGTATGCTTCGATAGAAGCGTGCCAATACATTCTAACTTCGGAGCCCAAATGCAGTCGATCCTCAAGTTCGAGTCACAAGTCCGAGTCCTGGGCTCGAGTACTACAACACTGTGCCACTGGGTGGAACCAAAGATCTTGTATGAAATCTACATCCTGGATCACCAAATCAGAGGAACACTCACATAAATGCAACAACTTTCAAGTTTTAGACCCAAAAAATGGTGCAAAAAAATGTGCATTAACCTGGCAGGAAGTACAATAAGAGAAACTGTGGAGAAATGTCTCACTTTAGTTCTTTGAGTTCCCGTGCAGAGTCATTCTTCTGCTTCCTCATGTCATCCAGATTCCTCAGAGATTCTGCCAGGTCACTCACAGCTCTGTCCCTCTCTCGCCTCAGTTTGTCACATAGCGTGCTGACAGATGCACACATTTTCATAAGGCAGCAGAAACATTTAAACAAACCTACTTTTGAACTGCCATAAGCAAAGATATCTTTTGAACCCACTCTTACCGTATGCTCTCCCTCTCTGCCACTATCTTGTCCCTCTCCTGAAAGGCCCAGTCCCGTCGACATTTGGCTACCTCGGCGTCCTGCGAGGCCTCCCTCAGCTCCTGAGAGATGGCCTCGTACTGCTTCCTCAGCATCTCGATCTCCTTGTTGGCTCGTTCCATATCCAGAGTGGCAGAGTCTTGTTTCTGAAGAAGTTGAAGGAAATGTAAGGTGGTATCAATGCTGGAGTATACACCAAACAGCCATAACGTTATGACCACTAACAGGTGCAGTGAATAACTTCCTCATGTTGGTGTGTGAGTAAAGTACAAATATTCTGCAGCTAGTCAAATCGCTGTCTTTGAATTGTATCATGATTGAACTGAATCGTACACACCATATCATGCACTGAATCGCATCAAGAAAAGGGTGGATCTTTGAATAATTGTTGAACAGTTCACAGCTAATATCAAAAAGCATTTTAGTGTGAAATGCCTGTCCCTAGTTTGAAGTGGGTCAGATATAGTATAATGAATGTACGCCTCACTGACGGACAGCTGGCGTATCTGTACATATGATTTCTTATGCTCTTTAAATAACTGCACAGGTCCATAGCTACATTAAATCCATTAGACCAGATTTATCAATTTCTGATACAGTGTATTATTTTTTAGCAGATCAAAGTCTTTTCACTGTAACTGCTAGTAATTTCCTAACAGAAATCTCAGGACTTTCATTGCAATTAATCTGACAGTCATAATGTGACGGTGTGATGGGTGATGCACACATTTCTCAACTAAATCAGTGTGGAAACCTGCCAGATGTTGGGGGAAAAAAAACAAAACATTCATTACCACTACACGAGATGGGATGGAGAGATTATTGTCAGAGGAATAAATCAACCCCACCATTTGTAATGGTAAATCTCCTGTCTGTCTGTCTACCTGTCTGGCCTGGTAATACTCTTGCAACAGCTGGTCCCTTTGGATGATGGCCTCTGTCCTCTCCTTACGGGCCACATCCCTCTCCTCTCGCACCATTTCAATGTCCTTGCAGGCCTGGCTCAGCTCCTTCTGGGCCTCAGCCTTGTCCTTCACCTCGTGGCAGTATTTCTCCAGCAGCTCATTCTTTTCACAGATAGCCCGGTCCCTGTCCACCAGTGCTGAAGACAGCTCCTTCAATTCACAAAAATATTTTACCAGAGGGTGACAGAGAATAAAACTGACTTCATCCTATGTAGTTAATAGTTAGTTTCTTGATGTAAACTGTTTAACCTAATTTTATTTGTATTATGAGACTTAAGGAGCCCTTGTTTCAGCTGTTACCTGTCGAAGAGCCTCCAGCTCTTCATTGGCCACCCGTCTCTCTGAGGAAGTGTTCTTCAGCTTGGCCTCTGCCATCTCCAGTCCGGTTTGAAGCCTGTCCACCTCTTTGATTACCTGATCCCGCTCGCTCATGATCAGACGATACTCACTAATCACAGAGTCCCGCTCCTCCTTGTATTTCTCGCAGTCCTTTACTGCCTTGAGTTGCTGGGTCTTGAGCCGTGTTGCCTCTGACTGCAGCCGCTCCATCTCTCGCTGAAGCTCCTGGTTCTGTGCTGCAGTCTTGGACAGCTCTTGCTGTGTGTTGTCAAACCTGTGCCAGATAGGGAATGTAGAAGGCTTTACTGCTCTGTATAGCATAACATGTCAAGAGTCATTAAAAATAAAATGGGAGAGCTCCTGCCTGTCTGCCTTGGATTAACTAGGTTTAATTCAGTGCACAGATTTGACCTTGACATTAAACTCAAGTGCTGAGTTTTTGGCAAACTTTGCTATAAATGTTGCTAATCATTAGACTTCTTACAGCTGCTGTGTGTGTGTGCACAGCTTGTAGTACTAGTTGTTTTGCATTTCTGTGATATTTCTGGGTTTACCTTCGTATAGATGTGGAATACTGCTGTTGGTAGTTGATAGCAGCATCTCTTTGCATCAGCAGCATGTCCATCTGTTTCTGTAACCGATGGTTCTCCTCTTCAGCCTGGTCCAGACGACTCAGATCTGCATTGTGACTTGCTGTCTTCTCATTGTATCGCTTCCTCAGAGCCTCATAGTCACTCTTCATGGCTTCCAATTTGTCCACAACTGTGTCATATAGCTTGTTGAGGACATCGGATGAGGCCTCTCTCATCACCTGGCAATGACATCGTTCAGGTTACTTACCCAATTACAGGGACACAATGGCACATCTCATTTTCACCTATTTGTGATGCATTGAAATAAGCAGAACACAACTGCTGCCAAACAATGCAATAGACTGCTTTAATACAGCTGTTTAAATAGTGTATATAAAAAAAAACTTTCTTTAAACTTTCTTTCTGAGTGCCATCAGACTTAACAGCTGACTCAGGAACTACTAACTACCTGTACTGTTTACACACTCAGTTTGCACATGCATAATTGCACACTTGATGCTTTGCTGCTGACTATTTGCACACACAGCTCCCACGTAGCATACATTCTCTCATCACTACATTGTGTTCTTGTTGTATTTTTCATTATGCTTCTTTCATTGGCTGTTTTAAAACACTTTAGATTTTGTGATCTAGCTTTTGCGTCACCGACGTATCTGCTTTATATTTCAATTATATTGTGCAGCATTCGTGCGGACAGCAAAGTAGGACTTTCGTTGTACGGGGAAAGACATTTCCTCACTGTGCACATGACAAACATTTGACTTGACTTATAAGCTTAGACCCTCCACTGCGTGGTAAGCAAGACCTAAAGCCAGATTCTGGTCACAGTTCAACTTTGGCTAGGACCTTTGTCATCACAGCCCTTTCTCTTCCCATGTTTCCTGTCTGCCTCTATACTACCAACTAAAGGTAAAATAACCTTAAAAACAAAGTACCACCCTGAGAAACAACACAACATCTACATAATTATGCAAGAGATTATTTCATTGATTGTTAGTTCCTCATTCAAAAGTCTGTATCTATCAGTCAATATTTATTGTACATAAGATCAAGTTGCAGACCTGACTAATAATAATGCTCATAACTACCAATATTTCTTTGATTCTTTTTCAGCATTAGAAAAGATTCAAGCTCATTTAGCACTGATGATATGGGATGGATATCACCAACACTGTTCACTCAACAAATGCCTTGATTTGTTTTGTAATATGGCAGCATGAAGACAAAACAGACGTGTTGTAAGGCTGGAGAAGTTACTATGTCTGCATTACGCCAGTTAAAATATGAGGTTTCTCAATTACCTGCTTTGTTTAGAGTGTTACACATCTCTTTTCATTGATACACATAGCACTGTTTACCCATCTATGGAGGTGAAATTCAAATTAGTTAATGCTGTTGCAGTTAGTCATGCTGTCCACTTTCATATTCTAGCACAAACATGTCAGGTAGGACTTCAGGTATTGTCAAAAACCCATCTCATTTGTCTACCATGTTTTTTGTTCCCCTGTCGAGATGCATTTCCTCTATTCAAAACGTAGTTTCATGTAGCAACCCCCTCAGTGGATAATGTTAGGGAAACAGATTTCGACAACACTGGCAACAGGAGTTGTGCATGCTCACAAACCATCTTCTCTTTTTTTTTTTTTTTTTAAGAAAAGGTTCTCGGGTTTTTTCTGAAATAATTACAGATTATTTGGAGTTATAATGTGCAAAACTAATCTAGAGGTACCAACATTAAATGGCTGGATATGAGCACGCCATGGGCTCTTTAATGATCTGACTGCAGTGAAGCTGAATATATGCAAGATGGACTAGACGTAGGTCATTTGTCTAATTTGAAAGAATGTTTTGATCAAAGGCAACATGTGAAGAACGAGAATGTCTGACCCTATTTCTCTCAACAATGTCCTCTTGGAAGTCATGGTCAGTGAGAAAGAAATCCACTGATTTCTGTCTCAAATGTCAGGATCCAAATAACTGGACCTGAAGGGTCAGGCATGCATGTCCCCATTACACTACCGTGTGTGCACCTGTTTGTGAGCCTACCTGTATTGTCATGTGAAGGTGTATAAGCATGAACATAGGTGAGATTGCCAGTTGGCACAGATACCTGCTGGTGCAGCGTCCTCATGTCCGTCACCTCTCGCTGGTCATCGTCATGCAGCCTCCTCAGCTCCTCACAGGCTCGCTTCACATGACTGTGATCCCTGACCAGCTGGATGTTGTCCTGTCTTACTGCCTCAAGCTCCTCTTTCAGCTGGGCGTGCTCGCTCACCAGACAGCTGTGCAGCGTACTGAGAATATACCACAAGTACCATTAGACTGTGGGCACTGCCAGCTATGCTTACAATCAGCATTACAGCACTTGGAGCCAGCAAAAAAAAAAAAAAAACATACAGCAAGTATGCCTTATTTGTCACAGAACCTACAAAGAGTTTAAACTTGTTGCTAATTAGTTTTTTTTTTACCAATATTAAACAGCAAAAACAGCATTATGTACTACTCTTTAACAGGTAACTGTACAAACATGACTCAGTAAGAGGACCAGTAAATCCTCCATAATTACAAAGTGCCAATACTTGCCTATGTGTTAAATGACTTCATTGGTCAGGCATGAATGTGATTCCCATTCACAGAGGACAAGCGCAGAATAGACAGAATAGTAATAAACAAAGACTTTTTCTGACATACAAACAGGGTCCAGAAGGAGAGGCTTACACACAGCAATAATCCTTCATCTGTGTGGTTGCACTGGGGCCAGATGTTGGTTTGCTACACTTTGGAGACAGTATGGCATCATTAAATCATACAGATAGACCAGCCTCTCTTCACATCAACTCAGCGGAGCTTATTTCACAGGACAACAAATGCTCTGTTCGTGGCATTATCCTCATGGCACAGATGCTGTTCCATGCACACAGGACTCAGATGATGATTACAGAGCATGCCTTGGCATGAATTCTTCAAGATGGCCATTGCTTATCAAAAAGTAATTCAGTTTGTGTTCTCAGCAAGAGCAGAGAAAGATGACTCTGGATTTATGCAACTAAGAAGAGTTTCTTTATCCAAAACACAAAGATAACTGATGAAGGCCTGCAAGGATTTTTTTTCCAAGGCTTAACACATCAGCTTTTGAACTGGTATAAAGGTTATACCCCTATTACTCTTGCAAAAATAAAATCCATTTTCTGCAATCTGCTGTGCTATGTCAGAAGAAGAACTGAATAGCAGATAAAACCCTGCAGGCTGAGCACAAATGCTTCAGCTGTTAAAAAAATTTTTTACAAAACCACATAGTAACTTTTTCCACTCACTGGTAGTAGTCTGCTTTCTTCACAGCCTCCTCACACCTTTTCAGGGTGGTGCTATGCTGGTTCTGCAGGGATTGCAGGTCTGCCATCGCCTTCATGCACTGCAGCTTCAGACGCTCATAGTCATGACCTGCTTTTGTAGGTGGTCTACTTTACAGAGGGAAGAAGAGATGGTGAAAATTTAAAATGGACTTTTAAGATGTCACTTGAAAGGAGATATGAGCAAGATAAGCATCATAAAACTT